TGATGTGACTATTAAAATTTAGGTCTGAGTCCATTATTACTCCTAGATTCTTTTCCTGATTCAGAAGTTTTGGGGAGAGAGACAGACAATACCCTCTCTTTGCTTCTGGGACCAAAGAAAAACCATTTCAGTTTTAATTGAAATGGTCTTTCGGGCGGCACAGTGGGTGAGTGGATAGCACTCTCGCCTCTCAGCAAGAATGTTCTGGGTTCAAATCCCGGTTGGACCAGGGCCTTTCTGAGCAGAGTTTGCATGTTCTCCCCGTGTCTGCGTAGGTTTCCTGCGGGTACTCCAGTTTCCCCTACCACAAAAAATATGTACAATAGGTCTGGCATGCGCCTCCTGTACTGGCGACCTCACTCCCATCTCTGTGTGGAGTGAGAGACAAATGCCCAAAAAATAAACAATTGTAAACCGCTTTGTGACTCTGATCTGTGAAAGGTGGTATATACAGTAAATCAAGAGTACCTACGTGCCTAATTCATACTCGCTGTAAGCCACCCCTCGACGCGTGTCACCCGGTGAGTGGCAGATCTATTTGTAATCTCTTATTTTGTGTTTTATTTGCCTGCGTCTGGAGCCTCCTTCAGTTGTGGGAGGGCATCAGGAGCAGAGCAATATGAAGCAGAACGTTATGAAAGCGCAGCAATAACTGTGTCTGAGGAAATGAAGCAGGAGGTGATGGAGGAGCGGAGCACAGATGCCACGCTGAAAACAATACATGAAAACTGGCCTCGTCCCACGGAGAGAGAGACCAGGGGGAGATCAGATGGAGACCAGTGGGAGAGACTGGGAAGACAGAGCAAAGAGAGAGACCAGAGGGATAGACCAGGGAGAGAGAGAGAAACACTAGAGAGAGAGACCAGAGGTAGAGACCAGAGAGAGAGATAGACCAGAGAAAAACCAGAGAGAGAGACCAGAGAGAGACCAGGGTGAGACTTGAGAGACCAGAGAGAGACCAGGGAGAGAGAGACCAGAGAGAGAGACCAGAGAGAGACCAGGGAGAGACTTGATGGAGAGACCAGAGTGAGAGACTTGAGGGAGAGACCAGAGAGAGAGACCAGAGAGAGACCAGGGAGAGACTTGATGGAGGAGACCAGAGGAAGAGACCAGGGAGAAATACCAGAGAGAGAGACCAGAGCGCGCGCGAGAGAGAGAGAGAGAGAGCAGAGGGAGAGACCAGGGAGAGACTTGAGAGAGAGACCAGAGTAACGTTATGTAATAGAAATGGCATCTCTCACAACAAACGCTTCCAGGGATCTGTGTAAACTGGAGATGAAGCTGGTAATGGAGCGAGGACGGAAACATCCCTAATCTTTGTTATATAATTATATTTATAAACTCACTCAAAAGTACTCAGGCTAAACTTTTAAGATGTACTGTATTTGAGTGCTGTAGAAATGCCATTCACTTATTTCATGTATATGTATTAGTGTAATAAAGGGAGAGATAGAGACCAGAGAGAGAAAGAGCAGAGAGAGACCAGCGAGAAAGACCAGACAGAGACCAGACAGAGACCAGAGAGAGACTGTGTCTGAGGAAATGAAGCAGGAGCTGATGGAGGAGCGGAGCACAGATGCCACGCTGAAAACAATGCATGAAAACTGGCCTTGTCCCATGGAGAGAGACCAGAGAGAGACCAGAGGGAGACCAGATGGAGACCAGTGGGGACTAGGAAGACAGAGCAGAAAGAGAGAGCAGAGGGAGAGACCAGGGAGAACGACTAGGGAGAGACTTGAGGGAGAGACCAGAGAGAGACCAGAGAGAGTCCAGACAGAGAAAGACTAGAGAGAGAGACCAGAGAGAAACCAGACAGAGAGAGAGACCAGAGAAAATTAGAGAGGGGCCAGACATAGAGACCAGAGAGAGAGAGACCAGACAGAGAGACCAGAAAGAGACTAGAGAAAGACCAGAGAGAGACCAGACAGAGAGACCAGAGAGAGACCAGCAAAGAGAGACCAGAGAGTGACTAGAGAGTGACTAGAGAGAGACCAGAGAGAGACCAGAGAGAGACCAGAGAGAGACCAGAGTGAGAGACCAGAGAGAGACCAGACAGAGACCAAACAGAGACCAGAGAGACCAGACAGAGAGAGACTAGAGAGAAACCAGACAGAGACCAGAGAGAGACCAGAGAGGGACCAGAAAGAAACCAGACATTGATACCAGAGAGCGAGAGACCAGAGAGAGACCATACAGAGACCAGAGAGTCCAGACAGAGAGAGACTAGAGAGAGAGACCAGAGAGAAACCAGACAGAGAGAGAGACCAGAGAAAATTAGAGAGGGGCCAGAGAGAGACCAGAGAGAGACCAGAGAGGGACCAGAAAGAGACCAGACATAGAGACCAGAGAGAAAGAGACCAGAGAGAGAGACCAGAAAGAGACTAGAGAAAGACCAGAGAGAGACCAGACAGACATTTCTGACTTCCTCTTGTCCAATGATCTGTGTTTAATGTGAATTTAAACGTGTTCTGTGGTTAATTGCCGTGATTGAGCCGGAGCAGTGTCTTTTTGTTCATCTTTTGACCTGAGGCTGAAGGGACATGCTTCAAACTCAGAACCATTTTCATAAAAGTTTTTATTTAGAGGATTTGTCATATACAGCCTCAATCCACTTCTGCATCGACTGGATAGAGATCGCAAACGGACAAGTAAAAAGTGTTGTGTGGAGTTGAAGAAACCTACATGAAGACCACGAGTGTCTATTTATGATCCCAGGAAAATATGCTATAATTATACAGTATAAAAACATGGTTGTCTTCCAAAGTTCCATTACTGTTTTATGAACCAACTCTGAGGAGCACAGGGACCGGCCTCCTGCTGGTCCCTCTGATTCAGAGTTCGGTCTTGTTTCTCTGGTCTCTCTGTTTTCTCTCTGGTCTCTCTCTGGTGTTTATCTGGTCTCCCTCTCTGTGATTTATTTCTGTTCTCACTCCGTGGTTTCTTTCTGGTCTCTCTCTCTGATTCCTCTCTCTCTGGTCGCTCTCCCTGGTCTCTCCTCGGTCTCTCTCGAGTCTCCCTCTCTTTCTGGTCTATCTCTCTGGTCTCTCCATCTGTCTCTCTTGTCTCTCTCTGGTCTCTCTCTAGTCTCTCTCTCTAGTCTCTTTCTTTTTTCACTCTGGTCCCTCTCTGGTCTCTCCCTGGTTTCTTTGTCTCTGGTCTCTCTCTCTTGTTTTCTCTCTAGTCTCTCTGTGGTCTCTATATGGTCTCCCTCTCTCTCTCCCTGGTCTCTGTAATCTCTCTCTCTGGTCGCTCTCTGGTCTTTCTTGCTGGTCTCTCTCTCTGGTCTTTCTCTAGTCACTCTCTCTGGCCTCGCTCCGGTCTCTCTCTCTCTGGTCTCTATATGGTCTCTCTCTTTTCTCTCTCTCTCTGGCCTCGCTCTAGTCTGAACACACCAGACTCATTAGAACGAGTCTGGTGTGTGAGTGGCTGGTGGTGGTTGGAGAGACTGATGGCACAGACTGGTTGCCTCGCTTCCGCCAGTCTGGGGGCAGCTGTGGCTACAGAATAATGACATGTGAGACGTCTTTGAGAGCTCAAAAAGCACTGTATCAAACTGATGCATTATTACTATTGACTTTCCTTCTCATGGCATCAGGAGTCTGTCCACATGGTTCCTCTGTATTATATCCAACCCTCACATGGTTTTCTAATGGATTATAATGAGTCTAATCTGCACATTCTCCACACGTCTCTTCAGGATGAGTCTGAGCTTCATGAACACACGTCACAGCGGTGCAGCTCCAATCACACAGCAGTAAAAGCAAATATTCAGAGAAGTGGGGTTCGACCTTAAAGGAACAGACACACGTCAGTCTGTAGAGGTTTTAGCTGGAGTTTTTTTAACCAATTATCAACATTATAACAAAAACAGGCTCGATAGATGGTACTGCACTGCCAAAAATGATAAAATATGAGGTAATAAAGCTTGAATTGTGTGGTTTGATCCTAATCTGAAACCTCTCTGACTGTTAAAACAAGATTCTCCAATGGGACAAAGCCATTTAGACTTATTTCAAGGACATTTTGTGTATATGTTCCATGTCCCATTGGAATTTTGTCCATATTTCATCATTGTTAGTTACTATAGTTTATCGTTTATGTGCTTCTGTGCTTGTATGTATGTGTTTCTGCTGCTGGACACCTGCATTTCTCCTACTGGGATCAATAAAGTATCCATCTATTTGTCTATCTACTTTTGGCAGAGTTGTAATTTTTAGAGTTTCACCTGTACATTTACACTTATGTGAGACAAGTTATGCAGCGTTCAGACCGGATCATGTGTTGCGTCTGCTTTCAATGCAAAGTCAATGGTGACGCGCGTTCGAGCGTCAAAACGCACAGACCGCTCGGCACGCACAGACTGCTCAGTAGAGACGCACGGACTGCTCGGGAAAGTCAAAGGGGAGGAGCAGGAGCGGAAAATCAATGCCCACAGGAGATGGATTCTGCTCATCCTTTCCTCGGGACGTTCGTGCAGCGACCAATCAGAGAGCTGCAAAGTGGTCACGGGGACATTGGTGGTCTGAGCGAGCAGACTGAACATAATGTAAACAGCCAAAACAGGAGCTATACCAGGATTAAACCAGGACCAAACCAGGGTTGACAATGGGGGAAGATCTTTACACGAGAAGCCGCTAGCTAAACTCTGTTAGCATCATAGCCTGCCGGCTACTTCCGCCAGTTCCGGCGCTGGTCAGGATGTTCTGGGTTGAAGACAGAATGCGCGTCTAGTGAGCGGGGCTTCAGCGTTTGAGCATTTGCGGTCTGAATGCACCATAATACTATTATTTTGACTTGTTTGTGGCATAGTTTATTAACTACTACTAATACTACTCATACTACTACTCATTTTGTTTCATTTCCTGAGTCTCCCGGGACGATTGCAACAAACTCAAATGATCCAACAGGGTTTCTCTTATTGTCCATGCTGCTGCTGCTGCTGCTGCTGGATTCCTGCGGTCACCTCCTGTTTTATTGATCAGTTTTCTTTGATATTTCAGGTTTCCTGCCTGCAGGATTTTTTCGGCGACGAAGACATATTTGTGGCATGTGGACCAGAGAAGTATCGTTACCAGGACGACCTGATGCTGGACGAAACAGGTGAGTGTAGAGTAAGAATCATGAATCTGTGGATCTCGATTATGGGTTGAGTTATTGGTAGCGTCAACGTTAACCTGTCTCCAGTATGTGCCCAGAGGCCTCCATATTTACTGCTGCTGAAGTCCTGTGGTTTTACAAAATATGTTTCTTTTAGATTTTAAAATCAAGCCTCATGTTCAGCTGGTGCGTAAAGAAAAACTTAACCCAGTGGGAAAAGTGGCAAACCTCTGTGAGGTCCACATTGAGAGAGGGGCCCGCTCTTCACAGACGTATGCTCTCGGCCCAGGACTGAGGCTGTAGATCCAGGACTGAGGCTGTAGATCCAGGACTGAGGCTGTAGATTCAGGACTGAGGCTGTAGATGCAGGACTGAGGCTGTAGATCCAGGACTGAGGCTGTAGATCCAGGACTGAGGCTGTAGATCCAGGACTGAGGCTGTAGATCCAGGACTGAGGCTGTAGATTCAGGACTGAGGCTGTAGATGCAGGACTGAGGCTGTAGATCCAGGACTGAGGCTGTAGATCCAGGACTGAGGCTGTAGATCCAGGACTGAGGCTGTAGATGCAGGACTGAGGCTGTAGATCCAGGACTGAGGCTGTAGATCCAGGACTGAGGCTGTAGATCCAGGACTGAGGCTGTAGATCCAGGACTGAGGCTGTAGATCCAGGACTGAGGCTGTAGATGCAGGACTGAGGCTGTAGATCCAGGACTGAGGCTGTAGATCCAGGACTGAGGCTGTAGATCCAGGACTGAGGCTGTAGATTCAGGACTGAGGCTGTAGATCCAGGACTGAGGCTGTAGATGCAGGACTGAGGCTGTAGATGCAGGACTGAGGCTGTAGATTCAGGACTGAGGCTGTAGATGCAGGACTGAGGCTGTAGATCCAGGACTGAGGTTGTAGATCCAGGACTGAGGCTGTAGATGCAGGACTGAGGCTGTAGATCCAGGACTCAAGCCAAAGAACGAGGACTAAGGCCACATGGTGCCTGCAGCTCCCAGGTGGGGAGGGGGTGTAGCCCACAAGGCAGGTCGGGCAGGGCAGTCCACAGGTGCAGATGGAGGAGGCCGAATTCAGGGGTCACATCATCATGTCATGAAACAGACAATGGACAGTGGGTGACTAGCAATGAACAGTCTACAGTCAAAGTCATAATGATGACAGATAAAGTAGGAAGGTTAGGATAGTGCTAGAGTAGAGTTGAGTAGGTTAAGGCCAAGAAGGGCTGGTGGAAATAGGACTTTTGGTGGATCTTATTACATGGCTCTATCATTGTGCTCTGAAAGTTAGGTACCCCTGCTTTAAATAATTATTCCTTCTCCTCAGTCTGTCTCTTGTTCTTTTGTGCGGCGCTGTTTCCTTTGTGCCAGAGCAGATTCATGTGTGTGACGCGTTGTGTGTGTGTGTTTGTGTGTGTCCGTGTCTGTCTGTGTGTGTTCTCCTCACTTTGTGTTTGGAGCTGTGGCCTTGTTACTGTGACGATTGGACTTACACTAGACTGGTTCAAGTGTGTGGGCTGTAAGAGAGAGACCAGAGAGAGACCGGAGAGAGGGAGAGGAAGAGAGAGAGAGAGAAAGAGAAAGACCAAAGAGAGAGAGAGAAACCAGAGAGCAATAGACCAAAGAGACCAGTGAACTGTGCTATACAAATAAACGTACCTTGTCTTACACGCTGGGAGAACTCTATAATAAAATCCATGTAACTAGTTCCTTGCTGCATTTATTATTTACTGACCTCTATCACAACAGAAAAGTGAAAATGCAAATGGTTATAATTTCTAAAACATTGTCTCGTTAAATGTCACATGGTCCTTGCCCCTGGTCCTCAGTGAGTCAGCGCTGAGTCCAGAGTCCTGGTCCCACTCTGCTCTCTCCTGCTCTGACCTCATCCTCCATTTTCTCCTCATTTGTGTTTCTCTCTCTGCTCTGTATCCTCTGCTTTGTCCTGTGTGAGCTGTGAATGTTCATTGATTATTCATCAAAACTGATCTTACGTCTATGTGTTCTGGACAGTGCAGATGAAGGCCAGACTTGTCGTCAGAATCCGATTTTGCTATGACTCCCTGAATGTATTTTAAAAATTCATAGAGCAGACCTTTTCTATTTGGTCTGATTTGATATTTGAGAGAGAGAGAGAGAGAGAGAGAGAGAGAGAGAGAGAGAGAGAGAGAGAGAGAGAGAGAGAGAGAGAGAGAGAGAGAGAGAGAGAGAGAGAGAGAGAGAGAGAGAGAGATAGAGAGAGAGAGAGAGAGAGAGAGAGAGAGAGAGAGAGAGAGAGAGAGAGAGAGAGAGAGAGAGAGAGAGAGAGAGAGACTAGAAAGATGGACACCAGAGAGTGAGAGAAAAGGGAGACAAGAAAGAGCAGTGAAAAATGAGAGACCAGAGCGAGACCAAACCTCTTTGCCCTCCTGTCCCTTTGAAATGCTCTACCCTCCTTCCCTCTGTTTTTCTCTTGGCTGTGGTCCACTTCTTAACACATTTGTTTCTCTATAGTCTCACCTCGTTCCTCTATTATTCTCTGTATGTGAGTAATCAACAGAGGCTGCCGCTCGGTCTCGCTCGGTCTCGCATCTCGTGCCTCTCGCATCTCGCTCCTCTCGCATCTCGCTACAAACAAACTAATAAGGTTATGTGGAGGGAAGAAGCCAGAACACTGCAATAACAGAGACAGTTTCTCTGTGTTGCTTGGTCCAGTTGCCAAAGGAATGTCTTTCATCTCTCAGCTTTGTGTCCGAGCCAGAGTCTCTCTTTTATATTTCTTTCAGAGACGGGGATTTGTTTAAGCTCCAAATTCACTAATATCAGGAACTTTTGCCACAAACCCCCGTCCCTTCTGTCAAAAAGTTCCTATCTTAAAGTTTGTGCGCTGTGATGAATCAACCTATTGCCTTGTCTGGTCTCTCTCTGGCCTCTCTCTGTTCTCTCTCTGTTCTCTCTCTCTGGCCTCTCTCTGTTCTCTCTCTGGTCTCTTTCTGTTCTCTCTCTGGTCTCTCTCTGTTCTCTCTCTGGTCTCTCTCTGGTCTCTCTCTGTTCTCTCTCTGGCCTCTCTCTGTTCTCTCTCTCTGGCCTCTCTCTGGCCTCTCTCTGGCCTCTCTCTGGCCTCTCTCTGTTCTCTCTCTGTTCTCTCTCTCTGGCCTCTCTCTGGCCTCTCTCTGGTCTCTCTCTGGTCTCTCTCTGTTCTCTCTCTGTTCTCTCTCTGGTCTCTCTCTGTTCTCTCTCTGGTCTCTCTCTGTTCTCTCTCTGTTCTCTCTCTGGCCTCTCTCTGTTCTCTCTCTGGTCTCTCTCTGGTCTCTGGTCTCTCTCTGTTCTCTCTCTGGTCTTTCTCTGACCTCTGTCTGGTCTCTGTCTGGTCTCTCTGGTCTCTCTGGTCTCTCTGGTCTCTCTGGCCTCTCTCTGGTCTCTCTGGTCTCTCTGGCCTCTCTCTGGTCTCTCTGGTCTCTCTGGCCTCTCTCTGGTCTCTGAAACCTTCTACGCTACACTTTTCTACCTTTTTTAAAACACAAGTATTTCCCCAATTCTATTTTGGCAACACCTCCCTCTGTTGGTAGAAGTAGTGAATTACATCCTGAGATCATTGTCTTTTGTTTATACATGTTTATCAGTATATTTTTCATATAATTATGAAACACAAAACACAAATTAAAAGTAAATACCTTAAGGCCCTACAATGACTAATCTATCACAAATATATTCTGAAGAAAATAAGCTTTTCCTTCAGACGTAACTAAATTATCTTGAACATAAATGGCCCCATTACTACAGAAACCTTTCCGTCTCATTTTGGTCCTGAAGCTTCTCACAATATTTTTCTTTTTTTTCTCCCTGTGGAGTCAATGACGCACATCGAGCAGCCATGTTGTCGTCATCCAGCCCCAAGGCAGCCGTGGCTTCTCTGTAGTTTTTAGTTGGGAAGTGACTGAATCGTTGAATATGAAATGTCTCATGAGTCTTAACCACAACAACTTACTCTATGTGAAGCTGCGGCTGAAGGTGTGGAAGAAATTCAGATTTTAGGTCTTAGGTAAGATTGTGGTCTGGATTCAAGTTGAGACTAAGACTAAGAATAAAACAAAGAGTGTTAAGGAGCTAGTGGTGTTTCGTGACACAGGGACTAGCTGTGAATTATCTCTCCTGCTGTACCATGTATCTCTCCTGCTGTACCATGTATCTCTCCTGCTGTACCATGTATCTCTCCTGCTGTACCATGTATCTTTCCTGCTGTACCATGTATCTCTCCTGCTGTACCATGTATCTCTCCTGCTGTACCATCCATCTCTCCTGCTGTACCATGTATCTTTCCTGCTGTACCATGTATCTCTCCTGCTGTACCATGTATCTTTCCTGCTGTACCATGTATCTCTCCTGCTGTACCATGTATCTCTCCTGCTGTACCATGTATCTCTCCTGCTGTACCATGTATCTCTCCTGCTGTACCATGTATCTTTCCTGCTGTACCATGTATCTTTCCTGCTGTACCATGTATCTCTCCTGCTGTACCATGTATCTCTCCTGCTGTACCATGTATCTCTCCTGCTGTACCATGTATCTCTCCTGCTGTACCATGTATCTCTCCTGCTGTACCATGTATCTCTCCTGATGTACCATGTATCTCTCCTGCTGTACCATGTATCTCTCCTGCTGTACCATGTATCTCTCCTGCTGTACCATGTATCTCTCCTGCTGTACATGTATCTCTCCTGCTGTACCATGTATCTTTCCTGCTGTACCATGTATCTCTCCTGCTGTACCATGTATCTCTCCTGCTGTACCATGTATCTCTCCTGCTGTACCATGTATCTTTCCTGCTGTACCATGTATCTCTCCTGCTGTACCATGTATCTGCTGTACCCTGTATCTATCCTGCTGTACCATGTATCTCTCCTGCTGTACCATGTATCTCTCCTGCTGTACCATGTATCTCTCCTGATGTACCATGTATCTCTCCTGCTGTACCATGTATCTCTCCTGCTGTACCATGTATCTCTCCTGCTGTACCATGTATCTCTCCTGCTGTACATGTATCTCTCCTGCTGTACCATGTATCTTTCCTGCTGTACCATGTATCTCTCCTGCTGTACCATGTATCTCTCCTGCTGTACCATGTATCTCTCCTGCTGTACCATGAATCTCTCCTGCTGTACCATGTATCTCTCCTGCTGTACCATGTATCTGCTGTACCCTGTATCTATCCTGCTGTACCATGTATTTCTCCTGCTGTACCATGTATCTCTCCTGCTGTACCATGTATCTCTCCTGCTGTACCATGTATCTCTCCTGCTGTACCATGTATCTCTCCTGCTGTACCATGTATCTCTCCTGCTGTACCATGTATCTCTCCTGCTGTACCCTGTATCTCTCCTGCTGTACCATGTATCTCTCCTGCTGTACCATGTATCTCTCCTGCTGTACCATGTATCTCTCCTGCTGTACCATGCATCTCTCCTGCTGTACCATGTATCTCTCCTGCTGTACCATGTATCTCTCCTGCTGTACATGTATCTCTCCTGCTGTACCATGTATCTTTCCTGCTGTACCATGTATCTCTCCTGCTGTACCATGTATCTCTCCTGCTGTACCATGTATCTCTCCTGCTGTACCATGAATCTCTCCTGCTGTACCATGTATCTCTCCTGCTGTACCATGTATCTGCTGTACCCTGTATCTATCCTGCTGTACCATGTATCTCTCCTGCTGTACCATGTATCTCTCCTGCTGTACCATGTATCTCTCCTGCTGTACCATGTATCTCTCCTGCTGTACCATGTATCTCTCCTGCTGTACCATGTATCTCTCCTGCTGTACCATTTATCTCTCCTGCTGTACCATGCATCTCTCCTGCTGTACCATGTATCTCTCCTTGTGTTATGATTAAAAATCATAACACATCTTACCATCATTCGTGATAGTTTGATGTGTCTTGGGTTCGATTCCAGCTCCAGGCCTTTCTGTTTGGAGTTGCATGTTCTCCCTGTGTCTGCATAGGTTTTTTCCAGGCGTTTGGGTTTCCCTGTACCACTGGAAACATCTTTCTCTCTCTGGTCTCTTAGATCTCTCTCTCTGGACCCTCTCTGGTCTCTACCTCTACTTTCTCTCTGCTCTCTCTCTGGTCTCTCTGTGGTCTCTCCCTCTACTCTCTCTCTCTCTCTGGTATCTCTCTCTAGTCTCTCTGGTCTCTTTTGTCTATCTCTACTCTCTTTCTGGTCTCCCTCCACTCTCACTCTGGTCTCTCTCTGGTCTCCGTCTCTCTTTCTCTCTCTCTGGTATCTCTCTCTGGTCTCTCCCTCTACTCTCTCTCTCTCTGGTTTTTCTGGTCTTTCTCTCTCTAGTCTCTCTCTCTCTCTTTCTCTCCCTCTCTCTCTAGTCTCTTTGGTGTCTCTCCCATCTCCCTCTAATCCCTCTCCTCCCTCTCTCTAGCCTCTCTCTCTCTCTCTCTATCTACTCTCTTTGGTCATTCTCTGGTCTCTCTCAAGTCTCTCTCTCTCTCTTTCTCTCTATCTCCCTCTCTCTCGTCTTTCCCTCTACTCTCTCTCTACTCTCTCTCTCTGGTCTCTCTCTGCTCTCTCTCTCTGGTCTGATGATTTATTTTGTAACTAGAAAATAACATCAGAATCTAAAATCCATATCTGTGTCTAACTTTAAGACATTGTTGGTGCCTCTGCAGACTAGTTCCTCACATACAGACTTGGATTAGGACCATGTGTCTCTCTCTCTGTAATTACGCCGCGGCCTCAGAGCGACACGCCGTCATGTTCACTGTCTCTGTTTTTGTCATTTCCTTCTGCAACATTTCAGACAACGTTTTTCAAACCAGTCCATGTCTGATTCCTGTGAGGACACAAAAAGTGATATATTTTCTGTTTTTGTGGTTCTTTAGAGAGAATTTAAGTCAGATATATTACCTTGTTACAATTATTTCTTTGTATTCTCTCTCTGGTCTCTCTTTATTCTCTCTCTAGTCCTTCTCTGGTCTCTCTCTGGTCTCTCTCTGTTTCTGTCTCTCTCTCTCTCTCTCTCTCTCTCTCTCTCTCTCTCTAGACTCTTCTCTTACATTGTAGACTTAAAATAATAATAATAATACAATCTCTTGTAAACTGTTGTTACCAGATGCGTACAGTCTGAAAGAAAGTAAATAAATATAATACAATGATTCATTTCTTTTCATAGCATCATCGTATAAAGAACCCAGTGAGTCACCATTTGACTCTTTAGGCTTGTTAAACTCCTGTCTTTATACATTTATACACAACAACATTCAAACACACAAGAGTACAGTGTTTTTAGACAGAAAGTCCCGCTTCATCTGCGTCTGACTCCACTGGCCTCTGGTAATGATGGTAATGATGGTAATGAGGCTTCTTCTTAATGGACAGATTAAAGCAGAGAGAGTATTTTCACCTCCACACGGCTCATTTACAGTAGCTCTGTACAGGACCAGACGTGAGTGAGTCGGGCCCGCACTGGTCTCCAAAACCAGAAAGCATTATCAGCTGTATTTGACTCTGCATGAGGAGGTTACGGTGTGGTTTTGGCTGTTAGTGTTGGAGAATCCACCAATATATGTTTTTTCAGTTCTCATACTGTATATTCATGGATTTTTTATGCTGTTTCTGGTATTTTAGTTTGTCGTATTTTAGTTCAATCTGTAGCACTTTGAGGTTTTGTGAAAATCAAATGTATTATTATTGTTATTAATATAATCATTATGGTCTCTCCCTCGACTTTCTCTCTCTCTGATCTCTCTCTGGTCTCTTCCTCTACTCGCTCTCTCTGGTCTCTCTCTCTACTCTCAAATGTATTATTACTATTATGATTGCATGTTTTTATCTCATTAGTCTGGGGCTGCTACCGGGCGAGTGCCAGACAAACAGAAAGTATTTGATAGAAAATTCAGCACAGCGCGAGTGGTTGTTGAAAATGCTTTGGGCAGTCTTAAAGGAATGACTCGGACACTGAACATGTGAAGTCAATAGTGCTGATTTGCTGTGCTCTGCACAATCTGTGCAAAAACCATGGAGAGACCATGTGACAGAATGGGACACATGTAGCAACAGCAGCTGTGTAGCAGTGGTGCAGAGGAGGGTCTGATGTGTAACTTTGTCATATGCCTAGACATTTATTTTGCCCTTGTTTTGACCAAAAATAAATCTTTTGTATTTAGAAAATGTCTCCATCCTTGTTCATAAATTTAACACGGATTTACTGCAAATATAATGTATGTATCACAGATTTATTAAAAACAAAAGTAAAGAGCAAAACCAAAAGTTTACAAAGTCCAAAGTACGTATGTCTCTGAGACCAGGTCCAGATGCGGGGAAAGTGAAGTACTCTGGTCACTCATTGGTAATTTCCTCACTTGTGGGAAAGGATTCTCAAACAAATAAATATACACAACAAATTAAGTACAAGCACAAAACTGAATGGCAACACGTTAAAGAGCAAAATAAAGCACAGTAGCGCAGGATGGACATTTTAGATTGCTATCGATAGCTAATGTAGCTAGCTCACTGTGTACAACAGACAATCAATCTTTTACACGGTAAATACATTTCAGTTAGAGCTTTGGGCCAACAGGATACGTAGCTAACCAGTTATTTCCAGGATTACCACAGACTAGTCACAAATCAAGAGCTGGGCGATCTCCCTGAAAACCTCGTGAAGCCTCCGTCGTTGAGCCTCGAGCTGCCCTTTGAATAATTTTTTTGGCCTAAAGAGAGTAGAGTCGGACCTCGTCGACCGATCAGGGCCTTTTGGGGCTTTCTGCGCATTTCCATTTTCCTGGATCGTGAGGAGGACGTATTATAGCCTTTTATAGATCCATGGCAGAGCAGCCGGTTTTGAAGATGGCGGGGTTGAATTGTTTTTACCAAAGGGTCGGACGTCGCTTCCAGTGACGAGACTCGTTGACCAATCAGTGTAAGGCAGTCGGCTGACGTCATGTCCATGGTGTAGCTTCGGCCCCGACAAAAAACCACTGTTGAGGTGGTACAAAAAAAGTACCCCCCGATCCCAAGCCCATCCCTAGTGGAAATGCAAAATAACCGCGCCGTGCCGTACCGTTACTGTGGAAAATCATTCTGTCACTCCATCGCAATTGGTTCGCAACCTCAGGATTAGACTTCTCCCTTTCATTCAAACCACACCTAAACTTTTATCAACAAAACATTATTTTTCCACCTCATCCGCAACATCGACCACGGTGTGTCCTTCTCAAATAGTGCGACCAGTGAGTCCAAAGTGTGAGCCAAGGTATAGGCCCTTGTCTCTGTTGATGGTGCTTCTCTTCCCTGATTAAAATCGTCTCCAGGTTTTGTGTCCACTGCCAGCTTTTCATGCAATCTTTAATTCTAGCATTAATAGTTACACATTTATCATATTTTCTGCCTGCTGTACATATACTATACACATAGATAAACAATATAAATAGCAATAGTTAACAGTTTCACCATATACTGTATCTATACCTTTATCTTCAATGTGTCTCTTCTGATAAAAGCCTTTTAAATTAAAAAAACCAAGATGTACAGTAAGTACAATAAAAACATGAAAGCTTGTGTGTAGCTCTCCCACTCGTCGTGTCATTTAAGATTTCCGTGGCTGAACATTGAACTCATGATCGCTGCGCTGCCACTAAAGGCACAAAACAATCTTCCGCACGTCTCTGTGACTCAGTGAATGAGGTGTTTCTGCAGACTGCGAAAATAAGGATATAGAAATAAAAGTGCTAACAAGGTTTCACGTCGTCTATGACTAACTACTCATTCCCTGCACCTCGCACCGTTTGTTTTTCTTTTCAATTATAAGTGAAATTCTTTCTTTAGGCAAAAGTATAGCAGCAAACTCCTTGTATTTAGGCGCTGAGCTGCTCAAATGTTTGCTCAGGTTTGGAGGCTTGAGTTTGGAATTGTCTGTGCTCTGCTTGTTATGCAGGAGTAGTTTCTGTGGATTTACTTCATTGTACAAAAACTAAATAAAATGGGAGCAGAGGAGACTAGCAAGAGACCAGCAAGAGCAAGAGTTATACTTTTAAAGTTATTTTTTTTATAGCCTGTAACTGGTAATGTGTTGAAGAAAGAGATTGCACTGCACTTTTGTAACCAGAGTGGGGGGGACTTCATTTTGAATGCCTTTGAGGGACCTGGAAGAGGGAGAGACTAGAGAGAGAGGCGACCAAGAGAAAGAGGCCGGGGAAAAGGCACACACAGATAGAGAGAAGATCCGGAGATGGGAACCAGAAAGGAGGGGACCAGAGAGAAAGACTAGAGAATGTGTAACGAACCAGTGAGAAAGAGGACATGAGAGAGGACCAGTAAAAAGATGGACCAGAGAGAGAGAGACCAGAGGGGAGTGACCGGCGGGTGTGAGATCAAGAGATGGACCTGAAATAGAGGGGTCCAGACGAGATGGGAGGAATCGAGAGAGTAGAGACCAGCAGGGACCAGTGGAGAGAATGGTCGAGAGTGAAAGACGACCAGAGGAGGGAGGATTCAGCGAGAGAGGAGAAATGTACAATGAGAAAGAGGATTTGAGGAGTCAACAGAGAGGAAGACCAGGAGAGAGACCATGAGAAAGGTGAAACATAAACTTTCTGGCGGTAACACACCCATGGTGGGACAACCAGAGGGAGAGTTTATTAATGTTATGATTAGTGGTAAAGGATCGATAAATTCGTACCAGAGGAGAGTTTCTCAAAACTAAATGTAACCGTGATGTAGGTACATTTATTAAAAATGGGAAATTAATCTGGTTTTGGCGATGAGAGGGTCGGATTGGATGAATACAGTCGGGTTGAAATTATGGGAAGATGTCACGTCGCCTCCTGAGCCGGGGAGTTTCTCCCAGATACCAGTCCCAGTTCGCTGGAGAGTGCAATGGCACCCGGCCTCAGGTTTACCACATCGGACAATCGCGCCTTTGGCTGGAGGGACCGATTTGGGATCGCTTTTAATGAACCAATCAGAGAATGACTAAAATGTCCCAAAACTACGTGTGTGAGAACCTAGAGAGAGAGAGAGACAAGAGTAGAAGAGTGGGAGAGCATAAGCAGTGAGTGAGAGAGTACGAGTGGGACAGTGCCAGAGAGGGAGACCAGAGATGAGGGAGAACCAGTGGGGAGAGGTGAACCAGGGTTAGAGACACTAGGGAACAGAGAGAGAGACATTGTAGGAGAGAGGGACCAGAGAGTGAACTCTGTGAGTAACAGTGGGAACAGAGAGTGTTCAGAGAGAGGGGGGTGTACCAAGAGGGGAATGTCACAGAGGAGAGAGCAATGATGGATTAGGAGAGTCTAGAGAGAGAGACTTGAGAGAGAGAGAGGGACAAGGAGAATAGACCGAGAGCGGGGAGAGGAGAACATGGTGAGTGAGACCACGGGAGTGAGAACCAGGAGAGTGACATAGTGAGTGGAGACCAGGAAAGAGGAGAACATGAGTGAGACAGAGAGTGAGATGAGACCAGAGAGAGAGGACTAGGGTGGGAGTGAGAGACAACTGAGGAGATTCAGAGACGAGAACAGCTGAGAGGGAAATTGGAAGAGGACCATGACCAAGTGTGAAGAGAGTGACCTGAGAGAGTGAAAATGGATTTTCACTTGTGAATACTGATTATACTACAGAGGATTTTTATCGTGGGACCCAATTTTTAGCGGGAAGGGGAGAAAAATCTAGTGAAAAAAATTTTCTACTGTTTATATTATTTAACACAAAAAAAATTGGGCAAAATGTAATAGTCAAACACTTTGTCAATTAGCAACACTGATTGGTGTTGTTGCAGGTTTTCGATTCCATGTGTAGAAGAGGGTTATTTTGGAGAATCGGTGTTTTTACACACGCGTGAGCATGGCGGCCCACGCCGAAAGTGGCAAGGATGACAGTGCGTAATTGCAACTGTATAAGAGGTGTGAATATAAAGAACAGCTGATGAAATAATGTTTATGAGACCGAAAACTGAGCACTTTCAAAGCCCATATGCATGTGTGATGACGGAGAGTGGGAAAAACATTGGGTCAGAGATAACCTCCTCTTTTGGCACGTTTTCGGCTGGGTCTGGGACTTGAGGACCTTTATTCGTTCTTCAATAGATAACCTTCACTCAGGAAGGGTCAAGGTTGGTGGTGGAATATCCAATGTCGAGAGTTTTTAACAAACGACAGGGTTTAAAGGGGACGATCCACTTTGCGACCGTCGCGGTAAATCACAGTAATAGGAAGGTTTGTCCGGTTTGCTGATTTTATTATGGTAAAAGTTTAGAGAACAGGTTTGAGAAGTGGAGTTGTGCAAAACCAATAGGCAAATGGTTAAATATTATTATTATTTCATGATATGAATGAAAAAATAGTTTGAGAAGCGAGGCAAGTGACAGTGAAAGTTAGTTTGCAAAAAATTAAATGTTTTATTGTGTGCAAAAAGGAACTTCCAAGTTCTATGCTTACCGTAGGTAACAGCCATAAGAAGGGCCCAACCACTTTAACCGCTGTCGTATCTCTAGCATGTGCACTGAATCATTAACGTGTGGGGTGGTGGTTGAGGTGTGATACGACTGATGGGTAGAGGGGTTTGGCCAAGTTTATGCGGGTACTAACAACACGGGTTTGTATTGATAGGGAAGGTCAGGTTTTGGCATTTTATATTTGAATCAGTTAATTTGGGATTACTTATTGCTCGGACGCTTGGTTCAGGCATTCATGAATGATGATTAATTTAACATGGAATGGTGGGTGGCTCATCGCCACGGCCCATTACGGTTCGAAGTTTTACTTAAGTAACAGCAAACAGGGAAAACCTGTTTTTTATGTGATTTACCGCGACGGCGAAATGTCGGGCCACTTTTCGCGGTGAAAAAACGCAGAGAAGGGTTTTCACCACGGACCCTCATGAGTGAGGGTTTTCTAGGAGAAGAAAAGAATAAAGGTCAAGAGTCCCAGTCCCAGCAGAAGGTGCCAAGAGAAGGTGACTCTGACCAATGTTTTCTCTCGTCATCCCAGGCATATGGGCTTTGAATGTGCTCAGTTCGGTCTCATAAAATTATTTTAGCTTGTCTTTATATATCCTCTGTTAAAGTGCCTATTTCGCTCTGTCTTCTTGCCACTCGGCGTGGGGCGATGCACGCCCACGCCTGGGTGTAAACAAAAGATTCTCCTAAATAAACTCTTCTACACAATGGGAATCGAACCGGCAAACTTCTCCTTACTGGTTTGTTATATGACAATGTGTTTGACTTTACATTTGGCCCAGTTTTGGTGTAAATATAAACAGTAGAAAAGTTTTTTTCACTAATTGCTTTTCCCCTTCCAGCTAAAAGTGCACCACGATACAAAAATCCTCTGTGTAATTATAGATTCAAAAGTGAAATCAGTGTCTCTCTCTGGTCTCTCTCTCTGGTCTCTGGTCTCTTTCTAGTCCTCTCACTGGTCTCTCTCTGATCTCTCTGTGCTCTTCTCTCATAGTCTCTCTCTCTGGTCTCTCTCTTGGTCTCTCTCTGGTCTCTCTCCTGGTCTCTCTCACTGGTCTCTCTCTGGTCTCTCTCCTGGTCTCTCTCACTGGTCTCTCTCCGTCTCTCTGGTCTCTCTCTGGTCTCTCTCTCTAGTCTCTCTCTTAGTCTCTCTCTCTGGTCTCTCTCTCTGGTCTTTCTCTGGTCTCTCTCTGGTCTCTCTCTGTCCTTGGTCTCTCTCTGGTCTATCTCTGGTCTCTCTCTCTCTTAGTCTCTCTCTGTCCCTGGTCTCTATCCCTGGTCTCTCCTCTGGTCTCCACTCTCTTGTCTCCCTCTCTGGTCTCTCTCTAGTCTCTCTCTTTGCTTTCTCTCTCTCTCTGTCTCTCTCTCTCTTGTCTCACACGTGTTTTGGACATTTAGTCTTCTCTGATTGGTTCTTTAAGCGTCCAATGTCTCAGCCAAAGGCCGAGTGTCCGGTGTGGTACCTGAGGCCGGGGACTTGCTCCTCAGCGACTGGTCTGTTCTGGGAGAACTCCGGCTCAGAGGCGTCGACATCTTCCCATACTTCACCGGACTTCATCATCCGACACTCTGCAAAACAGATTAATTTCCCTTTTATAAAAGTAATATTCATGGTTTAGTTTGAGAAAATCTCTCTGGTAGAATTTATGATCTTTACAATCAATAATACATTAAAAAACTCTCCCTCTGGTGTCCACATGGGGTGTTACAGGCAGAAAGTTTTGTTTCAACTTCTCTCTGGTCTCTATCTGTCTTTCTCTCTGGTCTCCCTCAATCTCTTTCTCTGGACTTTCTCTCTCGCTGATCTCTTCCTCTGGTCTTTCACTCTAGTCTTTCTCTCTGGTCCCTCTGGTCCTCTCTCCTCCCTCTCTCTGGTCCCTCTTTCTGGTCCATCTCTGATCTCACCCTCCGGTCTCTCCCTCTGGTCTCTCTCTCTGGTCCTTCTTTCTGGTCCTCTCAGGTCTCTTTCTCTGGTCGTTCTCTCTCTAGTCTTTTCTCTTGGGTCCTCTTTTGGTCCATCTCCGGTCTCTCTTTCTGGGCCTTTTCCGGCCTCTTTTCTGGTCGCTCTCTCTCTAGTCTCTCTCTCTGGTCCCTCTTTCTGGTCCATCTCCCGGTCTCTCTTTCTGGTCCCTTTCCGTCTCTTTCTCTGGTGGCTCTCTCTCTAGTCTCTCTTGGTCTCTCTCTGGTCTCTCTCAAAGGCATTCAAACTGAAGGTTACAAGTGCATCTCTTCTTCAACACATTACCAGTACAGGCTAAAAAATAACTTTAAAAGTATAACTCTTGCATCTGCTGGTCTCTTGCTAGTCTCCTCTGCTCCCATTTTATTTAGTTTTGGTACAATGAAGTAAATCCACAGAAACTACTCCTGCATAACAAGCAGAGCACAGACAATTCCAAACTCAAGCCTCCCAAACCTGAGCAAACATTTGAGCAGCTCAGCGCCTAAATACAAGGAGTTTGCTGCTATACTTTTGCCTAAAGAAAGAATTTCACTTATAATTGAAAAGAAAAACAAACGGTGCGAGGTGCAGGGAATGAGTAGTTAGTCATAGACGACGTGAAACCTTGTTAGCACTTTTATTTCTATATCCTTATTTTCGCAGTCTGCAGAACCACCTCATTCACGGAGTCACAGAGACGTGCGAAGATTGTTTTGTGCCTTTAGTGGCAGCGATCATGAGTTCAATGTTCAGCCAAGGAAATCTTAAATGACACGACGAGTGGGAGAGCTACACACAAGCTTTCATGTTTTTATTGTACTTAACTGTACATCTTGGTTTTTTTAATTTAAAGGCTTTTATCAGAAGAGACACATTGAAGATAAAGGTATAGATACAGTATATGGTGAAACTGTTAACTATTGCTATTTATATTGTTTATCTATGTGTATAGTATATGTACAGCAGGCAGAAATATGATAAATGTAACTATTAATGCTAGAAATTAAAGATTGCATGAAAAGCTGGCAGTGGACACAAAAACCTGGAGACGATTTTAATCAGAAGAGAAGCACCATCAACAGAGACAAGGGGCCTATACCTTGGCTCACACTTTGGACTCACTGGTCGCACTATTTGAGAAGGACACAGTGGTCGATGTTGCGGATGAGGTGGAAAAATAATGTTTTGTTGATAAAGTTTAGGTGTGGTTTGAATGAAAGGGAGAAGTCTAATCCTGAGGTTGCGAACCCAATTGCGATGGAGTGACAGAATGATTTTCCACAGTAACGGTACGGCACGGCGCGGTTATTTTGCATTTCCACTAGGATGGGCTTGGGATCGGGGTACTTTTTTTTGTACCACCTCACAGTGGTGTTGTCGGGGCCGAAGCTTACACCATGACATGACGTCAGCCGACTGCCTTACACTGATTGGTCAACGAGTCTCGTCACTGGAAGCGACGTCCGACCCCTTTGTAAAAACCAATTCAACCCCGCCATCTTCAAAACCGGCTGCTCTGCCATGATCTATAAAGGCTATAATACGTCCTCCTCACTCCAGGAAAATGGAAATGCGCAGAAAGCCCAAAAGGCCCTGATCGGTCGACGAGGTCCGTACTCTACTCTCTTTAGGCCAAAAAAATTATTCAAAGGCAGCTCGAGGCTCAACACGGAGGCTTCACGAGGTTTTCAGGGAGATCGCCCAGCTCTTGATTTGTGACTAGTCTGTGGTAATCCTGGAAATAATGGTTAGCTACGTATCCTGTTGGCCCAAAGCTCTAACTGAAATGTATTTACCGTGTAAAAGATTGATTGTCTGTTTGTACACAGTGAGCTAGCTACATTAGCTATCGATAGCAATCTAAAATTTCCATCCTGCGCTACTGTGCTTTATTTTGCTCTTTAACGTGTTGCCATTCAGTTTTGTGCTTGTACTTAATTTGTTGTGTATATTTATTTGTTTGAGAATCCTTTCCCACAAGTGAGGAAATTACCAATGAGTGACCAGAGTACTTCACTTTCCCCGCATCTGGACCTGGTCTCAGAGACATACGTACTTTGTGACTTTTGTACACTTTTTGGTTTTGATCGATAGCTCTTTACTTTTGTTTTAATAAAAAATCTGTCAGATACATACGATTATATTTGCATGTAAATCCGAGTTAGAATCTAGGAACACGGATGGAGACAGTTTCCTAAATGACAAAAGCGTTATTGTTTTGTCAGAAACCAGGGCAAACCATAAAATGTTCTAGGCATATGACAAAGATACCACATCCCGGACCCTCCTCTGCACCACTGCTACACAGGCTGCGTGTTGCTACAAGTGTCCCCCATATCTGGACACAATGGCTCTCCATGGTTTTTTGACACCAGATTGTGCAGCGCCCCAGCAAATCCGCCACTATAGACATCACATGTATCAGTGATCCGGGTCATTCCTTTAAGGACTGCCCAAAGCATATTTCACCAACCACAGTCGCGGCTTGTGCTGAATTATGCTATCAAATAACTTTCCTGTTTGTCTCGGTCGACTCGCCCGGTAGCAGCCCCAGACCTAAAGATGATAAAAACATGCAATCAAAATAGTAAATAATACCTTTGGAGAGATAGAGAGAGAGGACCGAGAGAGCGGAGTAGAGGAAGCGAACCACAGACGAGCGATCATGAAGAGAGATGAAAGACGAGGAGAGAGGACCGCATAATGATTAATATTTAATAACAATAATAATACAATTTGATATTCCACCAAAACCGTCCCAAAAGATGCTACAGATTTTGAAACAAAAATCCGGACAATCTACAAATACCAGAAACAGCTAAAAAAAATCCATGAATATACCAGTATGAGAACTGAAAAAACACATTATTGGTGGATTCTCCAACACTAACAGCCAAAACCACACCGTAAACCCCTCCATTCATGCCCAGCGGTCAAATGACCGACGGAAAAGCTTTCTGGTATTGGAGACCAGTGCGGGCCCGAGAACTCAACTCACGTCTGGTCCCAGTACAGAGCTACTGTAAAAAGAGGCCGTGTGGAGGTGAAAATACTCTCTTCTTTTGCTTTAAAATCTGTCCATTAAGAAGAAGCCTCATTAACCAATCATTACCCATTATCATTACTAGAAGGGTCCGAGTTTGAGTCAGACGCAGATGAAGCGGGACTTTCCTGTACTAAAAACACAGTACTCTTGTGTGTGTTTGGGAAATGTTGTTTGTGTAGTATAAATGTAATATAAGACAGGAGTTTAACGCAAGCCTAAAAGAGTCCAAATTGGTGACTCACAGGGTTCTTTATAGCGATGATGCTATGAAAAGAAATGAATCATTGAATTATATGTATTTACTTGTCTATCAGACTGGACGCAACCGGTAACAACATGTTTAACAAGAGATGAAGTAATGTATTAATATTTTAAGTCTACAAATGTAAGAGAAGAGGCCTAGAGAGAGAGCATGCGATGTATGAGCATAGATAGGTACGATATAGCTACATGAACACAGTAGTGCTGCTACCAGAGATATGACCAGTAGAATTATATCTCGAGAATAATACTATACATGAGTATAGAATACACATTACATAAAAATTAAACAATATTAGAAAATAAACGATACATACCAACCCACCCAACACCCTCAAACCACCAACACCTACAATAAACACCCAAATTATTCCCACCCCTTCCACCATCCCCAGTCCATTTATATTAAAAACTTTTTCAGAAATTATTCATTAAGTAACATTACAAAACATGTATGACATTTGCACATTCCTGTCTATACTCCACATCATTCCTCCTTCTACCAATACCCCGTGATCGATCTCCACAAGGTCCTCATCCAAATACATGTATTTAGATGAACTGTCTGCCGCTGCCCCACCCACCCATTTCAATACACTAAATTCCACATAAATTGAAATTAAGATTCTGATGTAATTATTCATAGTTACCAATCAACATACCACCATCCCTCTATCTTCTCCATCTCTCTCCCTCTATATCTATAATATGATATCTTAATAATGTCCCTCCCTCTCTATCTTTCTTCACTCTATTCCCTCTCATCTTTCTCTTACATTATATCCCATCTTCAATCCCCCTCTCTACTAACTCTCTCTCTATCTCTACTTCAATATCTCTTTCTTCGTCTTTCTAATCTTTCTTCTTTTATTCTCCCCCCACATCTCCCCACCTCTCTCTTTATCTCCCTTCACTAACTCTTCTTACCCACTCTCTCTTCACACTCCCCCCTCTCCCCACACCCTCTCTCTCTCTCTACTATGTCTCCCCCTCTCTTCCTCACCCACCCCATCTCTCACCCATTCTCTCTCCCTTCTCCCCTTCTCTCCCACCTATCTCCTATTCTTTCTCCCCCCCCATCCCCTCTCTATCACATCACCACCATCTTCCCATCTCTTCTTTCCCCATCTCTATATATCTATACTCTCTTCTATACCCCCTATATCCCTCTCTCTCTTTCTCTCTCCTAACTATTACTCTCCCCTCTCTTTACCTCTTCTCTCTCCTAACACCTCTCCCCTCTCTCTCCCTCATAACCATATTACCTTTCCCACCCCCCACCCTCCATCCCCCCCCCACACATCCTCCCCCCTTATTCTCCCCCATCCCCACCAAAACCCCCCCCTCCCTTCCCATTCTCATTCCACCCCCCTCCCCCCCCCTCCCCCACCCCCACCCACCAACCCCTCCCATCTCACACACACACCACCCCCCCTCAACTACCATCCCACCAACCACCACCCATCACCACCCACATACTCACCATTACCCCCCCCTCACCATTACCCCCCACCTATCACCATACCCTCCCCCACCATCTAACCTCCCACCCCACCTCCCTCTCCACCACCCCAAACCCAACCCCCACACCCATTACCCCACCCACCCCCATCCTTCACCCCTCCACCCCCCATTCACCCACCCCACCATCCTCACCCCACTATCACCCCCACCATCTCTACCCCACACCCCCATCCACCCACCCCCCACAATACCACCCCACCAACCCCCAAACATAACACCCCCCACCACCCCCCCATACCCCCCACCACCACTACCCACCCCACCCCATCTAACCACCTATCCACAACCCCACACACCATACACCCCCCACCCCCACATCCCTCACCACCTTCCCATTACACCACCCCACCCCATACCATCCACCCCACCCCCCCCCCCAACCCCCCCCCACCACCCACCCCCCACATCTCCCACACCCACCCCCACCCACCACAACCACCCCCCCACCCACCCACACAACCCACCCCACCCCACACACCACACCCCCAACACACCAACCCACACCCAAACCCATCCAACACCAACCACCACCACCCCCACCACCCATCCCCCAATCCACCCCACCCACCACTCCCACCAACCACCCAACCACACCCCACAACCCCCCTTACTACCACACCCACCCCCATCACCCCACCCACCCCCCATACCACCCCACCACCACCCCACTCAACATACCCCTCAACCCACCCACTTACCCTCCCCCACCAACCCTCCCCACAACCCATCCACCCCACCCACCCCCATATACCACTCCACTTACCAACCACCCCATACTCCCCACACCCATACCAACTACCTTCTCACCCCACTACCCCCCCTACCTCAACCCACCACCCCCTCTCATAACCATACCCCCCACACCCCCCTTACCCACCACCAACCATCAACCCCCCACTACCACACCCACATACCACCCCCCCTACCCACACCCCCACCCCCACCTCACCAACCCCCCATCCCACCCCACCACACCCCCACCCCCATATATCTCCTACACACCACACCCCCATACACACACCATCTACCCCCCCCCACCCCACTACCCCAAAATCCCTAACACCCACCCACACCCCCACCCCACCATCCACCCCCCCAACACCCCCACAATCACCCCCACTCACAACCACCCCCACCCAACACACCACCCCCACCACCCCACCCCACCACACCCACACCACAACCCCACCCACACCACCCCCACACCCAACCCCCCACCCCCACCCCAACCACCACAACCCCAACCCACCACCCACTCCCCCACCACACACAACCCCCACCCCACCAACCACCACCCACACACCCCCACAAACCCCCACCCCCCCCTCCCCAACCACCCCCCCAACACCCCACACCCCACACCACCACACACCCCAACCCCACCACCACCCCCCCACCCACCCCACACAACACCCCCACCCACCACCACCCCACACCCACAACACCCCCCACACCCACCAAACACCCCACAACCCCCCCCCCCACAACCACCCAAACACCCCACCCACCACACCCACCCCCACCACCCCCCAACCACAACCCCAACAACCCACCACACCTCCAAACCCCACCACCACCCAACCCACCCCCCACCAACCCACCACACCCCCCAACACACCACCCCCACCCACCACACCCACCCCACCCCCCACCCACCACCAACCACCCCACCCCACCCCCCCCCCCCCCACCCCACCCCACCAACCCCCCACCACCCAACCCACCCCACCCCCCACCACCCCACACCACCCCCCCACACCCCACCCCCCCCACACCACCCACCCACCAACCCCCACCACCCACCCCCACCCCCAACCACCCCACCACACCCCACAACACCCACCACACCCCACCCCCCAACACCCCCCCCCACCCACACCCCCCCACAACCCACCACCCCCACCCACACCACCACCCCCCACACCCCCACCACCCCCACCCCAACCACCACCCCCACACACCCACACACCACACCCCACACCCCACCCCACCCACCCCACCACCCCAACACCACCCCCCACACCACCCACCCCCAACCCACCCACCCACACCCCACCACCCACCCCACAACCACCCCACCACACCCACCCCACCAACACACCCCACCCCCCACACCCACACCACCCCCCACAACCCACCCCACCCCCACCCCACACCCCCACAACACACCCCACACCCCAACCACACCCCCACACCCAACACCCACCCACCCCACACCACACCACACCCCACACCCCACCACAACCACCCCACACCCCCACCACCCCACCAACCACACCCCACCACCCCACCACACACCCACCCAACCACCACCCCCACACACCCCCACACCCCACACCCACACCCACCCCCAAACCACACCCAACACCCCACCCCCACCCCACCACCAACCCCACACCCACCACCCAACCCACACAACCACCCCACCCCCCACCCCACAACCACCCCCAACCCCCACACCCCCAACCCCACCAACCCACCCCCACCACCACCCCACAACCACCCCCCCAACCCCACCCCCACCCACACCCACCCCACACCCCCAACACCACAACCACCCCACCCACACCCCACCCACCCACACACCAAAACCCCCACCCCACCACCCCACCAACACCCCACACCACCCCACACCCCACCCACCCAACCCCCCACCCCACCCCACACACCACAACCCCCCCCACCCCACACCCACCCCACACAACCCCCACACCACCCAACCACCCAACCCACACCCACCCCCCACCACCACCCCACCACAACACCCCACCAACCACCACACCACCCCACAACCCACCCACCCCCACCACAACCCACAACACCAACCACCCCACACACCCCACAACCCACCACCACCAACACACCCACCCACCAACCCACCCCCCCACACCACCACCCCACAACACCCCCACCCCCACCCACAACCCACACACCCCACCAACCACCCACACCCCACCACAACACCACCCCCAACCCACCACACCCACCCCAACCACCCCACAACCCACCCCAACACCACACCCCAACCCCACACAACCCCACCACCACCCCACAACCCACACCACAACCAACACACCCCACCCCACACACCAACCAACCACACCCCCCAAACCCCACCCCCCACACCCACACACACCCAAACCAACCCCCCCCACACCACAACCCCACCCACACCAACCACACACCCCCCACACACCCCCACACAACCACCACCACAACACACACCCAACACACACACCACCCCACCACACCACCCCCCACCCAACCCACCACCCAACCCACACACAACCCCCCACCAAACACCACCACCCACAACCCCCCACCACACCACCACAACAACCCCCACCAACCACCCACCACACAACAAACACCCACACCACCCCCCCCACACCAACAAACACCCACCCACAACAAACCCCCCACACCACCCCCAACCCACCAACACAACCCACACAACCCACCCCCACACCAACCCCCCACCACCACACCACCACACAACAACACCCACACCACAACCCCCAAACCCAACACCCCACCATACACACCACCCACGAGTTAACCCGAGTTATATTCGACAGCACAGTTCCCTCCTTCATCAGCGTCATACTACCATTGCCACTGTGACTAGCTTTTTACATGTAATGACCAGCGTCATACATCTTAAAGGCCCCAGAAATTAACGCTATAAGTGTATATAGTTAATTAATCCCCTCCCACGGTCTCATTATACCTTTATCCCCTACTTTACTGGACCAGACGGTGAGTGAGACGGGCCGCCCCTTGTCTCCCCAAACCAGAAAGTGTCAATTATCCTCAGTAATTAGTGACTAGCATTATGTAGGTTACCTTGTTTTGGTTTTGGCTGTGTAGTGGTTGGAGGAACTCCACCCACATTATGTATTTTTCCATTTCTCAAACTGTATCATCCTGTATTTTTTATGTACTTATCTGTTGATTTAGTTATTCGTATATTTTATTCAATCAGTAGCAACTTTGAGTTTTGTGAAAATCAAATGTAATTATTATGGTTATTAATATAATCATATTGGACTCCTCCCCTCGACTTACTCTCGCCTACTGATCTCTCACTGGTCTCATTCTCTACATCCGCATCTTCTCTGTTCTCCTCCACTACACTCAAATGTATAATAACTATATGAATGCTGTTTTGTATCTCATTAGTCTGGGGCTGCTACGGTGATAGCGATTGAATTATAGGCAGTGCAGACAAACCAGAAAGTAATTGATAGACAAAAATTCAGCAAGCGGAGTGGTTGTTGCAAATGCTTAGGTCAGTTCTTAAAGGACTGCCACGGACACAGCCCCAATTATATACAATCTTTTCAAATCTTATAATCCCACACATATCAACCCCCATTTCTCTACCACTTATACTCAATTTCCCCCATTATCTCACTCCTCTATATATATACTCTATTTCTCTTCTTTAATCATATAATACTAATAAAAATGGTCACTCATTGGTAATTTCCACTTGTGGGGGAAAGGAAGGACAGGGAAGTACATCTGGACACTCACTTTTGTGGGAAAGGATTCTCAAACAAATAAATATACACAACAAATTAAGTACAAGCACAAAACTGAATGGCAACACGTTAAAGAGCAAAATAAAGCACAGTAGCGCAGGATGGACATTTTAGATTGCTATCGATAGCTAATGTAGCTAGCTCACTGTGTACAACAGACAATCAATCTTTTACACGGTAAATACATTTCAGTTAGAGCTTTGGGCCAACAGGATACGTAGCTAACCAGTTATTTCCAGGATTACCACAGACTAGTCACAAATCAAGAGCTGGGCGATCTCCCTGAAAACCTCGTGAAGCCTCCGTGTTGAGCCTCGAGCTGCCTTTGAATAATTTTTTTGGCCTAAAGAGAGTAGAGTACGGACCTCGTCGACCGATCAGGGCCTTTTGGGGCTTTCTGCGCATTTCCATTTTCCTGGAGTGAGGAGGACGTATTATAGCCTTTTATAGATCCATGGCAGAGCAGCCGGTTTTGAAGATGGCGGGGTTGAATTGTTTTTACCAAAGGGTCGGACGTCGCTTCCAGTGACGAGACTCGTTGACCAATCAGTGTAAGGCAGTCGGCTGACGTCATGTCATGGTGTAGCTTCGGCCCCGACAAAACCACTGTTGAGGTGGTACAAAAAAAGTACCCCCGATCCCAAGCCCATCCCTAGTGGAAATGCAAAATAACCGCGCCGTGCCGTACCGTTACTGTGGAAAATCATTCTGTCACTCCATCGCAATTGGTTCGCAACCTCAGGATTAGACTTCTCCCTTTCATTCAAACCACACCTAAACTTTATCAACAAAACATTATTTTTCCACCTCATCCGCAACATCGACCACTGTGTCCTTCTCAAATAGTGCGACCAGTGAGTCCAAAGTGTGAGCCAAGGTATAGGCCCTTGTCTCTGTTGATGGTGCTTCTCTTCCTGATTAAAATCGTCTCCAGGTTTTGTGTCCACTGCCAGCTTTTCATGCAATCTTTAATTCTAGCATTAATAGTTACATTTATCATATTTTCTGCCTGCTGTACATATACTATACACATAGATAAACAATATAAATAGCAATAGTTAACAGTTTCACCATATACTGTATCTATACCTTTATCTTCAATGTGTCTCTTCTGATAAAAGCCTTTTAAATTAAAAAAACCAAGATGTACAGTAAGTACAATAAAAACATGAAAGCTTGTGTGTAGCTCTCCCACTCGTCGTGTCATTTAAGATTTCCTTGGCTGAACATTGAACTCATGATCGCTGCCACTAAAGGCACAAAACAATCTTCGCACGTCTCTGTGACTCAGTGAATGAGGTGTTTCTGCAGACTGCGAAAATAAGGATATAGAAATAAAAGTGCTAACAAGGTTTCACGTCGTCTATGACTAACTACTCATTCCCTGCACCTCGCACCGTTTGTTTTTCTTTTCAATTATAAGTGAAATTCTTTCTTTAGGCAAAAGTATAGCAGCAAACTCCTTGTATTTAGGCGCTGAGCTGCTCAAATGTTTGCTCAGGTTTGGAGGCTTGAGTTTGGAATTGTCTGTGCTCTGCTTGTTATGCAGGAGTAGTTTCTGTGGATTTACTTCATTGTACAAAAACTAAATAAAATGGGAGCAGAGGAGACTAGCAAGAGACCAGCAAGAGCAAGAGTTATACTTTTAAAGTTATTTTTTAGCCTGTACTGGTAATGTGTTGAAGAAAGAGATGCACTTGTAACCTTCAGTTTGAATGCCTTTGAGAGAGACCAGAGAGAGACCAGAGAGACTAGAGAGAGAGCCACCAGAGAAAGAGACCGGAAAGGGACCAGAAAGAGAGACCGGAGATGGACCAGAAAGAGGGACCAGAGAGAGAGACTAGAGAGAGAGCGACCAGAGAAAGAGGCCGGAAAAGGCCCAGAAAGAGAGACCGGAGATGGACCAGAAAGAGGGACCAGAGAGAAAGACTAGAGAGAGAACGACCAGAGAAAGAGACCTGAGAGGGACCAGAAAGAAGGACCAGAGAGAGAGACCAGAGGGAGAGACCGGAGGGTGAGATCAGAGATGGACCAGAAAGAGGGACCAGAGAGAGGGAGGAGAGAGAGACCAGAGGGACCAGAGAGAAAGACTAGAGTGAAAGACCAGAGGAAGAGATCAGCGAGAGAGAAAGTCCAGAGAAAGAGATTTGAGGGAGACCAGAGAGAAAGACCAGAGAGAGACCAGAGAAAGTTGAAACAAAACTTTCTGCCTGTAACACCCCATGTGGACACCAGAGGGAGAGTTTTTAATGTTATTATTATTGTAAAGATCATAATTCTACCAGAGAGATTTCTCAAACTAAACCATGAATATTACTTTTATAAAATGGAAATTAATCTGTTTTGCAGAGTGTCGGATGATGAAGTCGGTGAATTATGGGAAGATGTCGACGCCTCTGAGCCGGAGTTCTCCCAGAACAGTCCAGTCGCTGAGGAGCAAGTCCCCGGCCTCAGGTACCACACGGACACTCGGCCTTTGGCTGGAGACGATTGGACGCTTAAAGAACCAATCAGAGAAGACTAAATGTCCAAAACACGTGTGAGACTAGAGAGAGAGAGACAGAGAGAGAGAGAAAGCAAAGAGAGAGACTAGAGAGAGACCAGAGAGGGAGACAAGAGAGGGAGACCAGAGGGAGAGACCAGGGATAGAGACCAGGGACAGAGAGAGACTAGAGAGAGAGAGACCAGAGATAGACCAGAGAGAAACTAGGGACAGAGAGAGATCAGAGAGAGACCAGAGAAAGACCAGAGAGAGAGACCAGAGAGAGAGACTAGAGAGAGAGACTAGAGAGAGAGACCAGAGATAGACCAGAGAGCGGGAGAGAGACCAGTGAGAGAGACCAGTGAGAGAGACCAGAGAGAGACCAGTGAGAGAGACCAGGAAGAGAGACCAGAGAGAGACCAGAGAGAGAGACCAGAGAGAGAGACTAGTGAGAGAGAGCACAGAGAGATCAGAGAGAGACCAGTGAGAGGGACTAGAAAGAGACCAGAGACCAGAGAGAGAGACCAGAGAGAGAAACTGATTTTCACTTTTGAATCTATAATACACAGAGGATTTTGTATCGTGGGCACTTTTAGCTGGAAGGGGAAAAATCTAGTGAAAAAAACTTTTCTACTGTTTATATTTAACCAAAACTGGGCCAAATGTAAAGTCAAACACATTGTCATATATCAAACCAGAAGGAGAAGTTGCCGGTTCGATTCCCATGGTGTAGAAGAGGTTTATTTAGGAGAATCTTTGTTTACACCCGCGTGCGCATGCGCCCCACGCCGAGTGGCAAGAAGACAGAGCGAAATAGCACTTTATCAGAGGAGATATAAAGACAAGCTAAAAATAAGTTTATGAGACCGAACTGAGCACATTCAAAGCCCATATGCCTGGGATGACGAGAGAAAACATTGGTCAGAGTCACCTCTCTTTTGGCACCGTTCTGCTGGGACTGGGACTCTGAGACCTTTATTCTTTCTTCATAGAAAACCCTTCACTCAAGAAGGGTCCGTGGTGAAAATCCATGTCTCGCGTTTTTCACCGCGGTAAAGTGGCCCGACATTTCGCCGTCGCGGTAAATCACATTAAAAGCAGGTTGTCCCTGTTTGCTGTTACTTATGGTAAACGTAGAACAGGAAGCCGTGGAGATGAGCAACCAAAATGCAATGTTTAAAATTAATCATCATTCATGAATGAATGAACAAGTGCGCAGTGAAAGTAGTTGCAAAAATTAAATGTTTAATTTTTGCAAAAAAAGAACTTCCCGTTCTATGCTTACCGTAGGTAACAGCATAAAAGGGCAACCACTTTACCGCTGTCGTTTTTCACTGTTCTTTTCCGAAAGAATTAGAAAAAAACCTCTCTACAAACGTCTAAAAATAGTAAAACTCTCTAGCATCCAGGTAGCTTTCCATGCTGTAGTACCACACAGACACGTGACCGGAGCGGGAAAACTATAAACAACGACGTCACTCCAAGATCCTCCTATAACAGCCAGGTTTTACTGTAGAACTAATAATATTTACTCATAAACAACATTGCCGAGAACATTGACGGCGGC